GACCAGGGGTTGCACCTAGGGATTGGGCCTGCCCTCTGCCACCCGGGAGCAGGCCTAAGCCAGCAGGTCGTTATCTCCCGAGGGGTCCCAGACTTCGAGAAGGCACAGGTCGGGCTGAGGGACCCTCCCTCCCCCCCCAAGTGCACAAATTTTTGTGCACCAGGCCTCTAGTCTATCATATTCTCCTGTGGCTCCCTGGCAGTAAAATCCTCACTTGAAAGACTGTAAAAAGGCAGAAAAAAACTTTCCAGCGTAAGTAGGCTGTTCTCATTGCAGCTAAACCCACTAGAAAGAACTGTAGATATGCAAAACCTCCCCCACCACACATACCTTCCCTAACCCATTGAGGTAGAGCATGGTAGAGGCAGCTGGGTCAACTCAGATGGAGTGGCTCTGCAGGTGCTTCTGGCTACAGGAAGGCAGCATAGGGAACACACAGGTCGGGTAACGCATAGCCTGCCACTTCCCACCACGGAAGTGGTACTCTGAGACTGAGGAGATCGGGTCGTAAAGAGGACATTCACCTTCTTGAGATTTTTCCTTTTCTTTCTGAACTCCCTTTTTACCTTGGATTGATGGATTAATCTGTCTGGATATTTGAGGAAATGAAATATATATATATATATATATCTCCTCACCCAAGGATATATTTTACTGATTTTTAGAGAGAGAGGAAGGAGGGAGTGGGAGAGGAAGGCGTAAAGGATGACACTCCAACCAACTGAGCCACCAAGCCAGGTCACGAAATATTTTAAGTATTTGATTCTCACTGTTTAGCTGGTTGATAACTAGAGGTCTTCCTTTTGTTTTCCAGTAGGTGGTGGTGAAGCTCTAGTTTTATTTTCTGTTACCTACACCACAGAGGTTTCCAGGGATCTCTATAGGGCAGAAGATATTTGTAAACAATACTTCCAAGAGGCTATTATCTAAAATACAGTATAAAGAACTCATACAGCCGTGGCTGGGTGGCTCAGTTGGTTGGTGCATCATCCCATACACCAAAACTTTGAGGGTTTGATTCCTGGTCAGGGCACATACTAGGTTGCAGGTTTCATCCACCGTCTGGTGCATTCGAGATATTGATGTATTGCTCTTACATCTCTCTCCCTCTCCCTCTCTCTCTCTCTCTCTCTCTCTCTCTCTCAAAATCCATAAAGTAATTTAAAAAATAAATTAAAAGGAAAAGCCGCATGTAAGGAGCTTATAAGTCACCACTCCATCCTAACAACAAGAGCTGAAAAGACTGAATAATGAGTAACACTTTTTGGATCTGTCAGAGAGGGGTGGACCGGGGATATACAGTGGGGCCTTGACTTAAGAGTGTCCCAACTAACGAGTTTTTTGAGATACCAGCTGTCTCTCGGCCGATTTTTTGCATTGAGTTGATAGAGTAATTTGAGTTAAGGAGCTCCTTAACGAGCTCCTTAACGAGCTTGGTCTCCAAACGAATTAAACTCTTAAGTCAAGGCCCCACTGTACCACTGTCCCCAAGACTGAAGATACAAGTGAATACTGGGAGTCACCGCTTACCTGAACAGAGACTTATCAGCTATAACTGCTGTGGGATCTAGTGCAAGGGTAGGAAAACCTGAACTGTAATTGACTAATTGCTGGAAGCTCAGTGCATACAACTTTGATATTTAAAAGTTGTGGGTCCCTCTCACAATATTGTGAGATTTATCATCAGGAACTTGACAAGGATACACAGTAAATGTTAGAGAAAAAATCTCCTTGTACTTTCGGCAGGGGAAGGGGGAAAAGGTACCATTTGAAAGACACCAAAGCACTCTGTCCTGGTCTCAAGAAAACTAATTAAGCAGAGCCTAAATTACTCGGGTATTGTCAGAGCTTAAATGATCTGGGGTAAAGGAAATATCCAACCCCAACCCGTTCTAGCCAATCTGACCCACACAATGGGGGAGAAAAAAAACTGAGAAATACTTGTGAAGTTCATAGTCCAGGAGCATAGGCTCCTGAAAAGACTGAGACCTAATCATAGGGCTACAGAACATTTCCTCTTCCCCCATACCTTACCACCATATTATAAACAGCCTATTTACTTACAATTCCTCTTACACTGTACATCATGTTGGCTATCAAGAAAAACTTACTGTGCATATCAAATGGCAAATAGCACAACCTAAAAAGACAGAGAGCTAGCATCAGAACCTGACATCGCAGAGATGTTGGAATTTTATCAAAAGAGGAATATGAAACAACTATGATGAACATGTTAAGGGTTCTAATGGATAAAGTAGACAGTATACAACAACAATAGATGGGCCATGTAAGCAGAGTTGGAAATCCCACAAAAGCACCAAAACTAAATGCTAAAGATATCAAAAATACTCTAACAGAAATGAAGAATGCATTTGATGGAATTATCAGTAGACTGAACAAAGAACTGCTGAGTTTGAAGATTTCATAATAGAAACTTTAAAAAACTAAAAAGAAAAGAGAACAAAGACTGAAAAAAAATTAGAACAGAATACCCAAGCACTGTGGGAAAACCCCAGAAGGTATAACATACACATTTCAGGAATG